AAAACGATCAACACCGCAAATGGTATAAAGAGGTGATATTTTCTTTGGCGCACCTTAACTGGTTCCCGAACTCTATAAAACTACTTTAATCCTACACGAATTGGCTCCCAAACTCATATATCAAACTGGCTCCCGTCCATTAAGAAATATCTAGAAATTGAATCTCCTGAAACTTGGATTTTGAGAAAGAGGTATAATAAACACTAGAAATTAGAAATATATTCGTAAACAATTTATTTATTAAAAAAACTGCAACTGACAGTCTTCTGACCAACAACAGACTTCTTTTAAGACGTATTGTTTTTCCGTATACTCTTATAGAGACACTACTACTTCTTACTTTAATATAGGTATCTATTTGAAGATTTTTCAGAACCTCCAAAAATTGGAAAATATTCGTATGGCAAGTATAAAAAAAAATTGAATTTTGAATGGAAACTCTCGCATGAATTCGTTGTTCTTTGTAGAGACGTTTTGTCAATATCAATGGCAAAACAATCACCAACGTCTTCGAAGTCCAAAAAAAATACCAAACACGAAATGTCTAATTCTTTCGAATATTCCGCTGCAAAGCCTGAACATTATGGCATTATGGCAGAATATCATAGACACAACACATTACGAATTAAACAGTATAACACAAATATATAGAAAACCATCCTTGTTAAAAGCCATAATTGTCGTCTAATTTGATTCCCAAGTATTTTACGATCTTCTGGGGTTTTTTATTTACGTTTTTTCTATCCCATGGTCCCCTCAAGATTATTTCCTCTGTCTTTTCTACTAAAATTGTTATGTCATTTCTCTCTATCCATCTTGCAGTTTTTTCTATTGCTTTATTTACTTCGTTTATAATGCCCCAATTCATATGTTCTATAAGTAGGGCTAGGTCGTCTTACTCCTTCTGTTTTGTTTACTTCTAGTACCCCGTTTTATAAAATATTCCATAGTGTGAGTCCCAGGACTGACCCTTGGGGTACTCTAGCAGTCCTTTTCATCTTATTTTTCTTCGATATGCATACGCTTCTTTGCGATAGGTAGTCTTTGCGATAGGTAGGAGACCCCAGTTCGCTGGATTGAAGGCGTTTTTAATGTCCAATAAAACAACATTTAGATAACACCTAGGGCAAAATCGAAGCAAAATGCGTATAATAGAGAGGTATGAAAGATGAAAGAGGATGTTTGTATCCAAAGATTTAGTCTTTGTGCTGTTCAAATAGATAGATAGATAGACAGTGCGTAAATAGGTAAATGAACGAAATGAATGAATAAATATGAACGTAAATAGTAAGTGCCAGATCAAATTTTCAATGAATTAAAAACTAATCATAAACTTTACATTATCACTTTGCTTTATTGTATGCATATTATTATATGTAGCGAAACATGGGCCCTAGGAGAAAATAGTTCAAGACAGTTAAAAGTGTATGAAATAAGTGTATGAGTATTGTGAAGAATGCTAAATATTTCGAAGATACCACAAAAAAACTAGAGCGAACCTGTAAGCATTATGAAAATACGTAAAACACTTTAAGACGTATTTACAAAGAGTAAAAGCTTCTTATATCTCATAATGGAGGAACAAATGGAAGTTGAAAAGATCCTTGATATTCTATAAAATATATAAAATATATATTTAAAAAAAGTTCTAAAAAATCTTCAAATTTATAAAATGTAAGAGATTGGACGGGGTTGAGCCAGAGATCAAGTTACTATATTGATTCCCTCCCAGACGTTGGCAATCGAAATGACATTTAAAGAAGATCAATAAATTTATTTGACCAATTAAATCATTGTTAAACTTCTTTCTTAAAACTATTATCTAATACGTAATAATTTATTTGATTTTTTTGTTACGACTCTGTAAAACTATCAGTTCAACCAGGTCATAAATAATATTTGAGGACACATCCAAGACATGAGGGCTTAGAAAATTAGGTAGTACATCTGTTTCTCTCGTGTACATGCATTGTTTTCGATGCTAAAAATACCGTAATGTTATCTTCTTTACTATCTAAAAATATCTCCTATAATTTTTAATAATTGGACGTACGTGATTTTTGCTTTGATCGACGTTGTTTTCCGTACGAAATTTACGGTGGCCTTTACAGAAGGTGTTTACTTAATATCTTAATTGAAATGTTGCTCTTCGAACAATATTTTTGTTGGTTTCGAACCATTTTCCTTTGGCATGGTTTTAAAAGTTGTTTATTTAAAACGTTATTAATAATTTTTGATTTTCAAAACTGATTTGTTTTAATATACAATGAGTTGTAGCATATCTTGATTGAATAAATTTTTAAAAACATAATTCTATACAGGATGTACCGTTACTCCTTGTATAAAAAATGGTCCAGTAGATGGTGCTGTAGACTAGTGCGAAGCTTCGTACTATATTTTATATATTTTTATACTTTAAATAATATTTTTAGAATTGAATAAAGTAATTTTATTTACACTAAAAGAAATCCGGACTACCTGTTATGAATATAAGGTAACCCTTCATGCATTGTTCATAGATTCTAAACAAGCGTATGATAGGATAAGAAGGAATAAAATGTATGAAGCACTGAGCTCCTTAGGCATACCTGCAAAACTGCTTAGGTTATTAGAATGACTCTCAATAGCACACGAAATCATGTAGTATGTAGAGGATTTCATCGGATGAATTTGAAATGAATAGAGGCCTTAGACAAGGAGATCCGTTATCCACTGTGCTTTTTAATTTGGTATTGGAAACAATAATCTGAAGTAGTCGAGTTAAAATGGCTGGATCCATCTTCAACAATCGAATCATCAATGTCTAGCCTCGTGCTGATGATCTTACTATTCTAACGAAAACAAAAAAAGAATTACAAAATGAAATAAAAAGATTAGAAAATGAGGCAAAATATTTTGACCTAGAAATAAAGCAGGAAAAGTCAAAGTACTCGAATGATACTCGAAAATTCAGAGTTAAAAGAAGAGGGGTAGTTTACTTTCATATATAATGAATCAAGGGAATATAATATAACATGAATAATGCTCACAGTGACGTACGGTAGCGAAGTATGGATAATGAAAAAAGCAATTATGAAGAAACTGGAAAGATAGAAAAGGAAAATACTGAGAGCTATATATGGAGACAAAAAAGGGCACGTGATGAGAATGGGAACAAAGAGGATACTAAAGATGATTCGAAAACGGGGCTCAATCATGAAAAGAAGAAAGAACGACCCAAACAAAGATAGTTTGATAGCGTACAGGAAGATCTCAGCAAAGAGGTAATTGCTTTTTGGGAAGAAATAGCAACAAACAGGAATAAATGGAGGAGAACACTAAGCTAATTTAGTACTCAATGAGCATGATTGGACAAGAAGCTACTTCAATTTTTTCAATGTTTCAATACAAGTTTCCTAATATACAGGGTGTCCAGAAACTCTCCTGGCAAACGAATACCTCAGATTTCTCAGATAATTTCAAGTCGATTTAACCCAATTTACGTAGTCCAAAAATGCTTTCTTAGGGGAGCTAGAGCTCTTTGAAGGTGCAATACAAGCTCTGTTATATTAATTCAAGAGTCCTGCAGGGTATTGTTCTCGAGCCGCCGTTTATCTCTCTACACAAACGATACACTAGAGCCAATAATACTACAACCGCTTCCATTACTGACAATGTAGCAATAAAAGGTATAAACGAAGATCACATACAAACCTCGCAAAACCTGCAACATCATCTGAATATACCCAATGATTGGTACAAAAAATGACGAACAAAAGTAAATAAAACAAAATCAACTCAAATAACATTTCCTAACCGCCACAATATATGCCTACCTGCAGGAAAGAAAAGTATAAAAATAACAGTAACAGACTCTACATACCTTGGCCTCCATCTTCACCAACGTCTTACTTGGAAAAACATATCCAAACCAAAAAAAGATTCTGGCAAATGGATTGTCTCCTTGGACTTAAATCAAAACACAACAACCAAAACAAAATTCTTCTATATAAAGTTATACTCAAACCAATCTGGTACTAAGGAGTACACCTATGAGGCTGTGCAAGGCCAACGTCGCTGAATATCATCCAAAGATTTTAGTCTAAAGTTCTAAGATCGATAGTGGATGCACGATGGTACGTAAATAATCAAACATTTCACTATGACTTAAGGATTTCTGTCACCAGAGAAGAAATTCATTGAGCCACGGAGCCTCAAAATGAACGTACTATTCACCACGAAAATGAGATAGTAATGGAATTATTTAACAATGGTCCAGCCACAAAGATACTGGATAGAACCTGGTCCCTGTCCCTTCTTCACGCCCAAAACCAGTAACGTAATATTCTCCAGTAACGTAATATTAGTATTCTCTATTGATGTAGATTGTAAATAAAAATTGTCATAAAAAATGCTCTTTCAAACAACGAAAAAAAATTCACATAATTACTTCATCCAGTTATGATCTATACTGGCTCAAGTTTAGTCTCTTCAAAAACCAACAAAAAGTACTTACATATTCAAAAGAAAAAAGAAAATATATACACTTTGCATAAGCCTAAGATACAACAAAACAAAAACTTGGAATATTAATGAGACAACCGTACAAGATGTAGAAATACCGTATCTAGAGATGTTGATAATGTTTAAACCTAAAACAAGCAAAAGATACAGGGGAGGATCATGACTAATATGTAAAGATTTTATAACCAAAGTGCGAAATATATTGGATAAGAAGAACATCAAAGTGCGACAATAACCTTGGGGAGGAAATATAACAGGGAATTGAGTTGTTGAGAAATAATGATATCATTGATGATGATGAACTCTTTTAAAAAACACCGTTATAGCGTCGAACATTGGTCAATTCAAAGTACTTTATATAAAAGCGGGATAAATTATAGTTAAAATTATTCTCATCCAGAGAAAGGAAAACACACATCGATAAACAGATGTTATAGATTGTTGTTAAAATTTTAAATACGTCAATTTTCTATACTTTATGTTCTTTTTTGTTTCAGTTTGTCTTTTGTCAGTACTATTCCTATTACCGTACTGTTCCCGAGGTCACGCCCCACTTCTCTTGAGTCTTGGAGGATGGTGTTTGGCCAGTTATTCGTGTCTAGTACTACCAGTACTAATTTCAGCCAATTACAAATATCCAGTGAGATGGCTCCGGCAACTGGGTAACAAAGTGGCAGGTAAGTCAAATGGAGTTTGACCCAAAATGCGCAACGGGTCGTGCTAGCGTACATTCTAGGCAGTAAATGAAACAATAAATCTATCCAAATTTAAAGAATTCACATGAATTGAAGAATCATTTGGAATACATACGTACTCAGATACCTTATACAAATAAAACCAATAATGACGCTATAATGCAAAAATTATATTTATAAATCGATATAAGGTTGAATGCTCGAATAAATGAACTTTGAAAAATTAAAGGCAAATATCGAGCACAATTATAATAATCAAATCTTGCCCAAGTACTTTCGATTTCTACAGCATTATCAGGGCATTTCGTCAAATTTGGGCTATCCAGCAAGCGCAGAATGTAATAAATTGTACATAACACTACACTAAAACAAGACACAAACAGTTTAAAATTATTTAAAAATTATTCTACGCTCTACATTCTTGTCGGCAACAGGAGAGATAATAATGATTCTCTCTTTTTCTTTTTCTCTCTCTGAAGTTTTTGTAGTACCTCCAACTTCTAGAATTTGTAAACGGATAGAACATAGTAAGTTTGTTTTTTGTATTTTTATTATTACTATTTTTTTTTTAACTGTTTTTGGCGAGATAACAATAATTGTGTAATTTTTTCCCTAAAAATAAAATATTTATTTCTTTTAAAAAGCTTCTAACCCCTTTTTGTATGTTGTGAGAAGGAAGAGTCTTTTCTTTCATCCAGCAGGAAGATTCTTCTAAGCGGCGTCCTTATTTTAAATAGCTTGAGAACCTTCTTGTGTTTTGTTTGTCCAGGAGACTCAAGTAAGTACCCCTTTGCTTTTGTTTTTGTAGTTGCCCCAATCCAATCCTATCTTGTTACTCACTTATCCGTGACCCCAGCTCTCCAAATAAACCCTGAGTAACTGTTCGCAAAGGTAGGTGGCAACCACCTATCAAGTCATATCCACGCGCTTATCAAAGAAATATGGCAAGAAGAGAAAATACCCGACGAATGGAAGAAAAGTATAGTATGCCCAATCTATAAAAAAGGAGACAAACTCCAATGCAAAAACTACCGAGGAATTTCTCTACTATGTACAGCGTATAAAGTCCTCACGTATATTATAAACCAGCGACTTCAACCACTAGCAGAAAATATTATTGGAGAATATCAGACGGGCTTCAGACGGGGAAGATCGACAATGGATCAAATATTTACAGTCAAGCAGGTCTTGAGCAAATCGTGGGAACACGACATTGATGTTCACAACGTGTTTGTAGACTTCAAACAGGCATACGATTCAGTCAAAAGGGACAGACTATACTATATATTGGCAGAATTAGCAATACCACATAAGCTAATTAGACTCATTAAAGCCACAATGGATGAAACTCAGGCATGTGTACGAATACAAAACAACCGGACAGACTTTTTCAAAATCTCGCAGGGACTAAAGCAGGGAGATGGGCTGGCACCAACATTGTTTAACCTGGCACTGGAGTATGCGGTCAGGCAAATGCAAACTGGACGAGAAAACCTACTGACCAATAAAACGGTTCAACTGGCTGCCTACGCCGATGATATTAATATTATGAGTAGAACATCAACAGGAGCACAGGAAGCATACGCAGAGTTAAAAACACAAACGAAAAGGCTAGGTCTGGAAATTAACACAGAAAAAACAAAAATAATGGTACAGACGAGAAGAAATATAATCCCACAAAACATTATACATGAAGATGACATTGAAACGGTTGGAAAGTTTACATACCTGGGAGTAGAAATATATGCCGATGGAGCAGAGGATGGAGAAATACGAAAAAGGATAACGCAGGCAAACAAAGCTTATTTTGCCCTCTCCCATATATTTCGGTCTAAAAGTGTCCACCGAAATACAAAGATGAGAATATATAAAACTTTAATTCGGCCAATAGCATGTTATGGCAGCGAAGCATGGGTCCTGAAAGAAACATCCAAAAACAAACTCGACACATTCGAAAGAAAAGTACTGAGGAGAATACTAGGACCTGTGAGGGAAAACGGAATCTTCAGAATTCGATATAACAACGAGCTCTATCAACTGTATAAGGAAACACCCCTGTCAAACTTCATTAGAATACAAAGATTGCAATGGGCCGGACATGTGATACGAATGGGAGAGGATAGGCTACCAAAACGAGCACTGAACGCCAGAATGCAGGGAAAGAGACCAGTTGGAAAGCCAAGAAAGCGCTGGGAAGACACAGTAAGCAGCGACGCACAAGCACTTTTAGGAGTCCGTGTATGGAGAAGAGCAGCCACAGACAGACAAGGGTGGAGGCAAAAAATAAAGGAGGCCAAGGCTCATTTTGGGCTGTAGTGCCGTAGAAGAAGAAGAACTGTTCGCAAAAGTTTCGATTTGTTTTGCTTGCCCTATCTCCACCCCAGTAGTTTCTTTTCCCAATTTTCAGCCCCCTATAATGATCCCAATGTGGTAGGCAAAATAATCGTTACAATGTCATAACTAATATTACAAGTCACATCTTAGTTCAAAGAAAATTATTTTAAGTTGCTACTTAAAGTATTTTTATAATTTAATTATTAGAAGGTATTAAATTTTTATTATATTACAGCAAATTTAATATATTGCTAGTTTATTACTATAATTAACTCGACTTTATAATGTTTATGTTGTTCGTGTAGGTAGTACTAAACGATTCAGTAAAACATACTCCATAGTTATTTGTTTTTAATATCTGTAAATAGATGGCAAGTAAATATAAAAAAATAACAATTTTGCATGTAATTTGATTTTATGAATGTGTCTGGATCATAAACTAATAGACTGGGAATAAGTCCAAGACCGTATTTAACTTTGTCAAAATTGCTTTGAAAGACTTGTTTTATATTAGATAACACGTAAATCAAAACTTAAAAATGCCGCAGAACAAAATCTTACGGGTCATTTTTATATCAAGGACTCGGCTGCCGTTAGGACTTTCGAATTTTAGCTAGAAAAATTATAAATTCGTATTTTGTTAACACGTCATGACAAAGGTAAGTAGCTTGATTAACCCTCCGTTAGTACGGTAGGATTCATTTGACCTCAGCTCACAACTTATACTTAATAAATAGGTAAAGAAATAATAAATAAGACTTACTCACAATCAATTTAATTTAACTATCAGACGACCGGTTTCGCTTTCTACAATATGCAAAGCATCCTCAGGTCTCGATACAAAGTTAAACAAATGATGCCGGTACTCTATTAATAGATGGATGGTAGAACATGGTTGAAACTACTTTATATTGTTGAATGGAGAACTCAATTCTATCACTGCAGTTGTTTGACAGTAAACGGGAAGTTCTTGAGGAGATAGATTTGATCCAATGAATTAGAGATATGTGTGAGATTGTTTGTTAAATGTAAGTGATGTAATATACTATTGTGTTATTAAAGGCTATTTATACTTATTCCAGAGATATATTTTTGAAATGTGTGTTATTTATTGAGTAATTGTTTTTTTGAAGGTGACAGTTTTATGACAATGAATAGGTGTAGATGTAAAGATTGTGTGGGTGTGCAATTATTTTCACAACTTGTAGTTATCAAATTACTTTGATAAAGTTCTATTGGCAATGAGTTAATTATTGGAATAGTCAAGTAAATAAAATGTTAAAATACAGACAATTAAGGATAATTTAAACACACTAAAACAGAAAACACTTAGAAGGGACGAAACAAACATTGAATTTAAAAGGGGGGAAGGACTTTAATGCACTACATCATAGTCTTGGGCACAAGATAGATTTTATCTATCCGGCATCATTTGTTTAACTTTGTATCGAGACCTGAGGATGCTTATGCATATTGTAGAAAGCGAAACCGGTCGTCTGATAGTTAAATTAAATTGATTGTGAGTAAGTCTTATTTATTATTTCTTTACCTATTTGAAATGGAAAAACTTTGGGGAGGCTTATGTCAGACTCTCTGAACACAAACAGAAGCTGTATGATTAATACGGGATATATGCAACTAAAGTGTTTTGGATCTGGATCACCCATTACAGACAGAATTAGATACGAGAAATGCAATACATAATATATAATGACAAAAGGGACAGTACAGGACCTGATAATTTTATACTTAATATTTACACAAATTACAGGTATCTGGTGTCTCTAATAGCTTCATAGAATTCATCTATTTACACTTCGGTGTACTTTAATTCTTTAAAATCCGGAAACGATATAATAAAAGAAATTTGTTCAGTCATACGGTCGAGATGCTAATAATAAATCTCCTCCTTGAAATGCATTATATCTACAATCGGTTTTTTCATTAATTGTAATGAAGAGAGGTGGCTGATGAACGGATTGATGATATGAATTGCCTTCTTCTTCTTAAAGTTCCATCTCCTATCGGAGGTTGGATATCATAACGGCTATGGTCACTTTGTTGGCTGCTGCTCTGAAAAGTTGTAGTGAACTACAGTTAAACCATTCTCTAAGGTTCCTCAGCCAGGAGATGCGTCTTCTTCCTAGGCTTCTTCTTCCTTGGATCCTTCCTTGCATAATAATTCTCAGCAGCTCATATTTTTCTCCTCTGATTATATGACCCAAATACTCTAGTTTTCTTCTTTTTATGCTGTTCATAATTGCTAACTCCTTATTTAGACGTCGTAGTACCTCAGCATTGGTAATCCTTTGAACCCACTGAATTTTTAACATTCTTATGAATTGCCAATATTTATCAAAATAAGTCAAGAAGGTGTTTTATATTCAATGAAGGTGAAAGCCAATGAATATCACTTGAACTTATACATTGGCTTCGTTGATGATGAAAAGGCCTTCGACTCTATAGAACTTTGGGCAATAGAGAGCACTATGAACAACTGCAAAATAGACTCCCGATACAGAATGCTCATACATAATACTTAAAAGAAAGCTACAAAGACAATACAACTAGATGCGAAAACCAAAGCTATACCAATCAACAGAGGAGTTCGCCAGGGAGATGTTTTCTCACCAAAGCTATTCACACTTAGACTGGAAGACGTGTTTAAAGGGTTGACTGGGTTGATAAAGGAATAAATGTTAATGGAAGAAAACTGAGTCGTTTGAGATACGCTGATGACATTGTAATATTTGCTACAAGTTTCAAAGAACTACAGACCATGATGACGCAACTATTTCAAGCTTCAGAAAAACTAGGGCTTAAGCTGAACTTGCAAAAAAAAAAATTATGACAAATACACCGAACATTAGAGAAATAACGTTTAACGACATACATTTAAAAACAGTTAGCGAATACATCTACCTGGGACAGATAATGAAAGTTAACAAAGAAAATTAAACTGCCGAAATTACTAGAAGACTAAGGTTAGCATGGGAAGGATTTGGAAAACTGAGTTGGATCTTAAAAAGCAAAAAAATATAACAATATTTGAAAATGAGAATTTACGATCAGTGTATCCTCCCTAGCGAGAAAGTGCGAAGGAATGGGCATACCAGTAAGAGACGAATACCTATACACCTTAAGTTTTGCCGACGATCAAGTAGTCATCGCACAAGATGAAGAAGATCTCAGCTTTATGCTCAGAAAACTAGAAGAGGAATATAAAAACAATGGAATGGAAATAAACTTAGAGAAAACCGAATACCTAACAACAGAAAACAAGGATATGAGAAACCTAGAGACTAGACGAGGGAAGACAAGTAAGTGGAACAGATAAATTCAAGTATTTAGGAACCATAATATCGAACCAGGGAACAACAGAAGAAGATATAAACAACAGACTAAGACAAACAAGAAACTGTATAAGACAACTAAATTCAGTGCTGTGAGATAAGAACATTACGATAAAGACAAAAAAGAGAATATATAATACCCTGACAAGAAGTATCCTGACATATGGGTCCGAAAACTGGACAATAAACAAGAGAAATAGAGGTAGAATAAGAGCAGTAGAAATGGAGTTCCTGAGGAGAAGCTGTAGACTTACAAAAAGAGACAGAATTGAAAACGCAGAGATTAAGCGGAGAATGGGAGTGCAATCAGACATAATCGACTATATAGAGGAGAAGAGACTATCCTGGTACGGCCACGTCAGAAGAGCGGACAGAGGACGCTGGATAAACAAAATTACAGAATGGAGCCCGATCGGAAGAAGAAAGAGAGGAAGACCCCGAAGGTCATTCAGAGACGAAATCGACGAGGCTATGGAGAAAAGAACCCTGCGAGATGGAGACTGGAATTACAGGAAAATTGGAGAAAACGGTTGGGTGAAGGAAGACAGTGAAAACTGTGGAAATCTTTTAGTAGTATCCTCCCTATACTCACATATGGTTTACAGACGTGGACACTCACCAAGTCTAATATGGATAAAATAGTAAAAGCACAAAGACGATGGAAAGATCAATGCTCGGGATGAGACTTATAGACAAAAAAAAACAAACAAATGGATTAGAAGCAAAACCAAAGTAAAAGACGCAGAGAACATGCTGCCAAATTAAAATGGAGCTTCGCAGGACTCACTGCCCGACTAAAGGATAAAGATGGAACCACGAAATACAACAATGGAGACCATGGTTGGAAAGAGAAGCAGAGGAAGGCCACAAATGAGATGGGCTGATGACATTAAGAAGATCGAAGGACACAACTGGAAGCAAGTGGTGCAAAATAAAAAACACTGGATTGATTTGGGGGAGGCCTATGTCCAAAGTTGGATTACTTAAGGCTGAAGAAAAAGAAGTTTTAATAATAAAAATTGAAAATGTTCAATTTTATATTTTAGTATTACTGATTGTACAAAATAAATTTTTTTATTCGACGATTTGTTTATTTTTAATTTATCTTATTTTAATAAAGTTTAACTTATGTGCTTTTATAGAAAATAAAATTTCGCAATGTAATATACAATAGCACTTTTCAAAAAGCATACAAATGTAAAATTGAAGTTTGGGGTCTATTAGACCCCACGCTCTCCTTCTCAAAAACCCCGGATGTAACCAAAAAACGACAAGTTTGGCACGGGTCTTCTTACTGGATACTTCTAGATAACTAAAAGTGTAAAGCTGACACATGTGAGGCATATGAACCTCGTAAAACATACGTAAGAGACTTTCAGAAAACATAGTATGAGACTGTGTTCAAAAATAAGATACACACAATATTTTTATTGCAAATACATGCAGCAAGCTTCAGAAAACGTTTATGAGGATATCATAAATAAAAATAAAGCAGCTTTTACGAAAGTAGTCAGAGTTTTAATACAAAATGGTGCAGAACCAACAATTTGGATAGGTAAAATTGCGAAAACAGTAAATTTATTTACTTGGGATCATTAATTAATAGAAAAAAATTCATAAAACCTATAATCGCTGAGAATAGCAAAGAAAATTAATTATCTTGTACTAAATTTTGGCGCATTTTGCTAAATTTTTTATTTTGATGGATTTTTTGATAATTTCTATTGTTCTTTTTTAAATAAACTGAAAATGTATTGTATATATATATATATATATATATATATATATATATATATATATATATATTAATAATTTAATTTTAAACTATAATACAAAAATTGTCTAGTTGAAAAATAATTATAACAAAGATGGTAACTACTTACTTCAAAAGAAGGGTGTTTGTAGTTGAAGTGATGTTCTAGCAGTGAGGATGATTCTTGGTAAATATTAGTTTATATAATCCTGCATCCACCCTCGGTTGAATCTAAATCCTGTCATATCAGAAAAAATGACATGTTTCTTTTCACTAGGAAGTACACAGCAGCGTACGTAATGAAGGGAAGTTATTAATTTTAGATGAAGGGTATTTAATTAACTTCAGACGATAAGAAGATACACGAAATTACAATGGAATAAAATATTGAACTTGAAATAAGATGTAATATTAAAAAAAATTAAATTCAAAAGTAAAATGAAGTGACATCCTATCGACCAATATCACTCCTTCCGGTGATGTCAAAACTATTTGAAAAACTTCTATTGAAAAGATTAAAACCAATAATAGAAAGAAAAAATCTTATACCAAATCATCAATTTGGTTTCAGAAATCAACATTCCACTATAGATCAAGTTCACAGAATAACGAATATAATAGAAAAAACATTAGAAGAAAAGAAAGTCTGCTTTACAATCTTGTTGGACGTAGCACAGGAGTTTGATAAAGTCTGGCATGACGGTTTAAACTATAAACTAAGAACGTTTATGCCTAAACAGTATTCAGAAATCTTAGAATCATATATTGCGAATAGATATTTCAGAGTAAAACAAGAAGTGTACACCGACTTAAGGAAGATCAGAGCTGGCGTGCCACAAGGGAGTGTCTTAGGTCCGGTCCTGAACCTAGTGTATACGTGTGACATTCTAGAGCTAGAACAAAACATATTGCCACCTTCGCGGATGATACAGCCATACTAGCGATAGGAGACACTAGTGAAGAAGCGACTGATAAGTTGCAACTATCAGTAAATAAAATACATAACTGGACCAGAAAATGGCGAATACAATTAAATGAGACTAAATCTGCACACATTAACTTTACAAATAAAAAAATAGAAAATTTCCCAGTTAGAATAAATGATACCCAAGTTCCTTATGCAACATCAGCAAAATACTTGGGCATCACCCTAGACGCGAAGCTGCGCTGGAAAGTCAATGTCAAAAAGAAAAGAGGGAGCTTGATATTAGATATAAGAAATTGTATTGGCTGATTCGAAAAAATTCAACATTATCCATTCATAATAAATTATCCATTTACAAGCAAGTACTGAGACCAGTATGGGTATATGGGTGCCAACTCTGGGGCTGTACCAAAGCTAGTAATCTACATATTATTATCCAGAGATTTCAAAACAAAGTACTGAGAAACATTGTTGATGCTCCTTTGTATATCCGTAACAGAAACCTCCACCAGGACTTGGGTATGGAAACTGTGATCGAAATAATCAAGAGAACAGCAGCAAGTCACGAGCAGAGGCTGCATAGTCATGTGAATGTCGAGGCAATCCAGCTTCTTGACAACACTGAACTAAAGAGAAGACTCATAAGGACAAAACCATTTGAGTTAGTGTAAATGTGTAACAGTTTAGTGTAAAAAGCAGAGTATAGTGCTGTGATGCTATTGCATGTTAGTTGTAGTGCATTATTTGATAGATAAAATAAGAGTAAGCATAGGGTAAGCTCTTAGATTTAAGTAGTTGCTGTTTATTAAATTAGGTCAAAAAATAACAGATAATTGGCAGATAGCAGTATACAAACAACGCACAGATGTTATTCACACCGGTATACAGCACAGGTATAAATGCACATGTATAAAAATTATATACACAGTTTATAAAATTCCTTTATAAAAGGTATAATAATAATAACCCCATCAGGCTACATCACAGAACGTTTCGGAATAACTATTCCATCATCAGTTCTATCTGGATGTACATGTTTGAAGCCACTAAATATATGGGTAAACCCTTTAAATGTAATTTACATTTAAATGGTAAACAGAAAGGCTGGAAAAAACAAGAAGTGCAAACAGTTTAGAGGATTTACCAGCTTAATCAGCTTTTGTTTAAAACCCAGATATACACCTTAAAGATGATTTGACTTGTAAATATGTGCGAATTTTTTCTATTAGTAACAGCTTGAATATTTTCAGTAACTCTTAATCATCCATAAGGTATCGATGAGCATCATATGGGCATCCTTGTAATATTTGCGATAAAGTTTCATACGTTTTATAATATGGCTGAATGCAAAGTACGATTTGCGTAACTAAATATTTGTTATATTTATGCAGAAAAAGTATTTTTTGTATTTACGGGTAAAAACACATACGTTTTGAAGACGGAAAGGTTTTTAGCCATCGACACGGATTAGAGAAAATGGTTTATAAAAAGTGCATTTAAAATATTTGATAATTATGACAAACGAAAACAGAGGGATATAATAACAGAAATAATTGTAGTACAATGACATGCAGTACAATAATTTAGTAACGCTTTGTTTAAACTCTGCAGGACTGCAACCAATTTGCCTTGTAAAGTGGTTCCCAGAACACGAAAATGACCAAGGTATGAAACAAAATACTCCATTCGTGGAAAAAATTATATCTTTTATTATGTATAAGACACACTGCAACATATTTGTTACAATAAAATATTCGTTAAGATATTTGCTATAACCGACTAGATCATTTACCAACTCGATATGGTATCGACGTGGCCATCATAGAGTAAAAATGAGGTGTTCAAAATGCAATGCAGGCATACCATATCAAATGTTTTGTTTCCAACTAACAGTTGGAAACTGGAGTTTCCAGCTGTTCTCCGGGCGTAGAGGTTTTCTCCCCGGCTCTGGAACTCAAAACTTTTTGCAATGTATGTTACCTGAAGTCATATTTAATTTAATAATGAACATCACAGTTTTTTAACAACAAGATGTATAATCTTTGATAACTATAAGTAATTTAAAGGGTTTTTACCCATGTATTTTTGGTGGCTCAGGCATTTTAACCTAGCAGATTTTAAACCTGATGATGGACTGTTTAGTCCGAAAACGTTTGTTTTTTTGATGTAGCCCTTTTAAGGGTTTTTAAATAAATATACCCACTTACAAAGACTAACCTCTTTTTTTTTTGGTACATATTTGTTTTAGCATATTAAAAGCGTAAATTTGGAGAAAAATATTAAAACAATTTCAAAGTCCGTTTTAGACATATCTGGGTTCTTGTTCTTCTAATGCCGTCTCCACTAATGAAGATTGACTATAACCATTGCAAATTCGTCTCTATCTTCTGCTTTTCTTAAGAGCGTCTGTGTGTTTAACCCGGTCCAGTCGCGAATGTTTTTAGAAGAATAAGAACGAATCAGAGAAGCGAAAGAAAAAGAAGCAAGGGAAATATGCACAGAAATTGAGACTCTGTAGTCAGAGTTACGATAGTCACAATGTACATAGGAATCTTTACCAAAGAGAGTAAAATAAGAACGTGGAAAGAATATCTAGAAAATACTATTTAAAGACCAAAGAGATAACACCTTTAAGCTAGAAGAAGAGGTATATGATGGACCAAGAATATTACAGCAGGACGTTTATTTCGCAATAACACAGTTAAAGGATGGCAAAGCGGCAGGCCCTGATAATATACAAGCAGAACTACTTAAACTAATGGACAGCAAATCAATAGCAATAATCGCAAAGATATTCAACAACATATACAACTCTGGAGAAATACCAACAGAATGGCTGAAATCTGAGTTTATTGCACTTCCAAAAAAACCAGGAGCCAAAAAATGCGAAGATTACCGTACTATAAGCCTCATGAGTCATCTCCTAAAATTGTTCCTAAAGATAATTTATAAGAGAATCAACAAGCTGTGTGAAAGTCAAATTTCTCCCAACCAGTTCGGGTTCACAAATGCTGTTGGTACTAGAGAGGCTTTGTTCTCAGTTAAAGTTTTATTCCAGATGTGCAGAGACGTCAACTGCGACGTATACGCATGTCTGGTTGATTACGAGAAAGCGTTTGATTGAGTACAGCACGCCAAGATGATGCAAATACTAAAAGAAGCAGGAATTAACAACCAAGATCTGAAAATAATTAGAAATCTTTACTGGAATCACACAGCAAATCGCAGAGTTAAAGGTGAACACACTGACTATGTGAAAATCATGCGTGGAGTGAGGCAAGGCTGTATTTTGTCTTCTCTAATCTTTAATCTGTACTATGAAAGAATATTTATCGAAGCTTTGCACGAAACTGAAAAAGGTATTCTACTAAATGGTTACCGGCTAAACAACATCAAATATGCAGATGACACCATAGTATTTGCGGACAACTTAGAAGACTCACAAGTTCATGTATTACAGTCAACAATATGGACTCAATATAAACATAAACAAGACAAAGCTTATGACAATTAGCAAAAAAGATAACAAAAGGTCAACTCTACGTCAACCAATTCCTTGTAGAAATAGTGAATGAACCAACAACCAGGAGATTAGAGCACGCATCGGAAAAGCTAGATCCATCTTCAATCGCATGGGGGCCTTCTTTCAAGAGTCACAACCTCTCTCTTGATACAGAAGTAAGAATGCTGCGATGCTACGTCTTCTCTGTCCTTTTTTATAGTGTTGAATCGTGGACCTTAAACGAAGATATGTGCAGAAAACTGGAAGCATTTGAGATGTGGCTATATCAGAGAATACTTAAGATCCCGTGGACTGACCGAGTTACAAATGAGGAGGTCCTCAGAAGAATGAATAAGAACCGAGAGGTACTGACCACCATCAAATCTAGAAAGTTACAATTCTTCGGACATATTATACGAAATAAATCCAGATATGCTCTCCTTCAAGCCATCCTGCAAGGAAAAATATTTGGAAGACGAGGTCCAGGAAGATGAGGAATATCTTGGTTAAAGAACCTCAGAATCTAGTTCAATACAACATCTGTGCAGCTTTTCCGCGCTGCTGCAGATAAAATAAAGATTGCAATGATGATTGCCAATATTCGTAACGGATAGGCACATCAAGAAGAAGGCCCAGCCAGAGTCGAGTAGCGCCTTATTATCTATAAATACTCCATTATAATATTTCTCTTTTATTACGTTGCGCAGCTTTTTAATTTTTCTTTATTAGATATTTA